TGTGTGTGTGTGTGTGTGTGTGTGTGTGTGTGTGTGTGTGTGTATGTGTGAGTGTATTTTAGTTCTATGTGGTGCTGGGGATTGAACCCAGGGCCTCAAAAGTGCTAGGCAAATGCTCTACTACTGAGCTACAACCCCAGCCCAAGGAATTTCTTAATGATTATTCCAGAGAACCTCTATTTCTGGTAGCCACTGGACTGAGCTAAAAAAATGAACTCAAGACTTTGATCCTGTGAGATGCTGAATTATCCACTGAATTCACAGCCTAGTAGGTCTCTAAGGTGAAAATTGGTACCTGATTAGGAAAGGGGGGACTCTGAGAATTGGGATGGAGACACAGGTGACTCAAATAACTCATAGCCCAGGGAACCTCCTGAGCCAGAAGCAGCAGCTCTGCCCCTTTCCTGATGAGGCTCTCCTGGAAGGTGCTCATAGCCTAGATTCTCTTGCACAGGGAAACCAGTTTTTTTCATGTGCTTCATGTCTCATTGCTTCTAGAACTTAAAGTCAGAGCCCAGGAGGCTTGAGGCCTGTGGAGGAAAAAGGCTTGCATATCAGAATTCCAAACACTTCTAATTGAGAAGGCAAAATCCTAGCAAATATGAGAGGATCCATTATGTCATTCGAGAAAAAGCTGGTTGTAATTTTAGATCAAATTGAATTTGTTGATACAGGGGCACTTAGCAAAGGTCCTGGCCAAGCAGCTGGGAGGGGCTCCAACAGTTTGACAACCAGTCAACCTGGATTCATTGGTTACCATCATCATCTGGAGCTGAATCCCAGAACTTTGGGATGTATAGAGAAAGAAATTCCAAGAGGTCAACATATTGGATTGGGCTGATGATACTTCCCCACTCTGTGTACCCCAAAGCCCTTCATCACAGCACTGAGGGGGAAAAATGCATTGGGGGGATGGAGGGAAGCTCTGTAGTAGATTCTGTGGGCTGGGATCAGGTAGGATATGGCTACTGCAATGGGCCTCCTGTTTTCTCTGGGGGTAGATGGGATACCTCGGTGAGAGTCCAAGAAACAGCATGTAAAGACCAGAGACGAAAGAATTATGGAGACAGTAACACCAAAGTGGTGTCTAAACTAGAGCAGTTTTCATCTGCAAGGTTTGGGGTAAGGGTGAATCAGGTACCATATCCCTAGATGCCACTAAGCTCCAAGTAGATAAAGTCTGTTAAACTCCTACTTCTTGTGCATAACCCCCACACATACACCCAGAAAAAAAAAAGGTCTAGCAAGGAAAGTCTGACTTAAGCCACAGTAAAGTCATAGCCTATTACCCAATTCCCAGACCTGAATCTTCATATCCAACAGCCCTTTGAATGAACCGGAAGATAGATACCATTGAGTGAAGAAGCCCTCTTAGCCTTCATCAAAAAAGTACTATAGCTACTTAACAAGATAACAGCTCACTAAGGAAAGGGACCACCTAGACCTTTCAGGTGCTGGCTCACTGCCCCACACCAGCCCTAATCCCTGAACCCAAGTGCCACTGGGGAGGGCGGTGCTCAGGCAGCAAACGAATTTTTGACCCAGTAAATTCCACCACTCATGCAATAAATACTGCATATTCATTGAGCGCCAACCACTGTTCTAGGCACTTAGGATACATCAGTGAGCCCAACAAAGATCCCTCCCTTCATAAGACCCAAATATTCTAGGAGAAAAGAAAGAAAACAATAGACATTATTTATTTGACAGGTTACAAGGTAATAACAACAGTGGGACAGGGAAATGAGGTACAGTGGTGGGGGAGTAAGGAGGATGGAGACAGAAGTATTTTCCAATTTTAAATAGGTCAGGCCTCCTTGAGAATATGAGGAATGTGAGGATTGAGCAAATATTTAAAGGAGATGGAGAGTTAGGCACGGTGGCACAGGCTTGTAATCCCAGTGGCTTGGGAGGCTGAGGCAGGAGGATCTCAAGTTCAAAGCCAACCTCAGCAATTTTGCAAGGCCCTAAGCAACATAGCAAGATCTGATCAAAAATAAAAAGAGCTGCGGAGGTGGCTCAGCGGCTAAGCAACCCTGGGTTCACTCCCTGGTACCAAAATAAAGGAGACGGAGGAATGTTCTAGGAAGAAGAAATAGCCAGTGCAAAGATCAGAGGCGGGAGAATGCCTGATGTATTTTAAGAAGAGCAAAGAAAAGCAAATATGACTGGAGAAGAGCTAGTGAGGGAGGAAGGAGTGAGTGAGAGAGTGGGTGGCAGGTGGGCATGGTAGGTTAGGGTTAGATGAGGCCTGAGGACTACTGTAAAGATGGGCTTTTACTCAAAACCACTAAAGGAGTTTGGAACAGGTAAGAGAATCTAACATCCATTTAGGAATCATTGTAACTCCTGTATTACAATCGATTATAAGAAGGAAAAGGTGGAAACAGAGAAATCAGCTAGGAGGGCTTTTTTTACAGTAATTGAAGCAAGATAAAGTGATACCCGCAGGATGGCAGCAGCAGAGGAGGCAAAAGGTGCGTGGATTCTGGATGCATTTTGAAAGTGGAACCAGCAGGATCTGCTGATATGTTTGATGTGGGGGGTGATAGATGGAGAGGAGACAGAAATGGCTAAGAATTGGGGGCAAGCACCTGGAACAACAGAGTTCCCATCAACTGAGAGCAGAACGGCTTCTGGGGCCATTGGGGAGGGGTTTGCAGAGTGGGTGGGGGCTATCAGAAGTTCAGTTTTAGACTTGCTAGTCTAGACAGTCTAATTTTGACTTGTCTAGTCAAGACAGTCTAAACTAGCAAATCCAGTTTAGACTTGCTTGCTAGACAGCTTTAGACTTGCTAATTTTAAAATGCACATTAAACAAAGTGGAGATGTCACGTAGGCAATTGAATATGTGAGTCTGCAGTTTAAGAAGAAAGGTCTGCTCTGGAGACATATATTAGGGAAATGTCAGTATTTAGAAAGCATGAAACTGGAGGGCATCACCAAAGTATTATGTATAGAGGGAATACTCTAGAGGGTTAGAGAAGGAATCTTCAAGGGCAACCAAGATGGAGGCCATTGAGCTAGGACAAGAACCCAAACTGTGCCGGCCTGAAAGCTTACAAACAATGGGTATGGAAGAGGGGTGGGCAACATTACAAATGCTGCAGGCCCACCAAGTAAGAAAAGGAGTGGAAATTAACCAATGAGGAGGTCACTGGTGGCTTTGAAAATGAGAGTTTTGTGGAGAGCAGTGAACCAAACCAGATGACAACAGGCTCAAGAGAACATAGGAGAAGAGCCAGAGGTAGAAAGCATTAGACAACACTTACCACTGATTTTTTGGAAAAGAAGAGTAAAGAAATGGGAAATGGGAGTAGTAGATTGGTAGGAGAAGTGGAATCAAGAGAATGATTTTTTTTTTAATTGAGGGAAGGAGGGTGGAGAGAATGTTCCAGGAGAGAAAAAAGTTGATGTAATTAGAAAAATTGCTGAAAATGGGAAAATGCTGGAGAATAAGAGGATGGAACGCAGTCCACTAGTGGAGGAATTAGCTTTAGATAGGAGCATGAATAATTTATCCATGGTTATGGGTGGAAAGGCAGCAAACAGACATTTCTGCTAAAATATGATAGATGTGCTCCTAAAAAGGTTTTCATTCTCAAATTCATGCTCTAAGCAATTATGTGGAAAAAAAATGGGTCGGGAAGACCATCCCAAATCTATCCAACTTTGCAACCTGAGTACTAACACCATCTTAGTAAACATAAAAGCACAAAGCCAGGGGCTGGGGTTGTGGCTCAGAGGTAGAGCACTTGCCTCGCACGTGCAAGACCTTGGGTCCAATCCTCAGCACCA